GCCTGACCACTCCGGGCTTTGGGTGTTCCATCGGGAACACCCTCAAATTTTTGTCTGGTGGTCATAAATCCCTCCACCGGGTCTCCAATGAAAATTACAGAGCATGTACTCCATACTCGAAAGATAATCCATGAGTGATTCTTAAAGATATGGGGATATAGGCTTTTCAGGCAGTAGGTGATTGAGGAATCGGCTTCAATTGTTCAAGGTGTTTCCTTGAAACATCTGAAGTTAAAATCCCTGCAAGTTCAGCCTGAAAGTGCTAGCTTTACCTTCACTTCCGTGTCAAACTCAACAACCAGCACCCTCATCTCATACACGTGTCAGATCTTCCGATGCTCCTCTTCTGACATCGGGCCCTTCCCCGCTACTTCACTCTGCCTTGTGTCGGTTGGACCGGCCATGGAACCGAACAGTTTGGTGCCCCTTTTCCGGCCAACTTTTCGAACTCCATACTTCCCCCCACAGGATGGTTCAACCATCACCATCTGAGCCACCGCAACGTGGGTTTCCTTGTTCACATTTCCAAAGTAAACAAGTTTGCCCCCCCCCCCCTCACACCCCCACCCGCCAGCCCTTTCCGCGAAGACCTCGCCTAAAGTCTTCGCCTTTTCCGCGAGAATTCTCCGCGCAGTCACTGGCAAGTGGGGGAGAAGAACTGGCAAGCCTCCAAGTCGGACGCCGCCTTCGAGCAGGGAATCCACAAGTGGCCCAGGCCGGCCCGGCGGCATCCCGGCTGGGCGGTTGAAACGGCGTGAACCGTGCCACGACCCAAGGATGTGTGGGTTGTGCTGGAGGGGTTTGGTTTTGCTGGTCAGGACCTGTGAGATCTCTTTTTTGTTTTCCGGGAACTGTTTGCGGGCCAAAGAAAAGGGAACCGTCCCAAGAGTTTTTCCGTGGCCGCAGCTCCAAATGAAACCGTTCTTCGGTGGCGGAAGCGTAGACAAATTGAAACCTGCGGCTTGTTGAGCCCTGATGCTTTGCCTATGAGGCTTCAGCCGAATTCGGTTTGGACTCCGATCTCTAACATAGCACCTGTGGGGGTGTACCTGGAAGATCAGTTTCTTGCAGGTCATCAGGGGTGAGCGAGGAGCTAAGAGTGGATCGCTGTAGGCCGCTGGCCGCCCCCAACCACAGCCGCCGCACCCAGCGCTGCGCCACTGCCCCGCCGAGGCGCGGGCAACGGGAGCCTTGGGCTCACAAAAGCACGCGCACGAGAGCCGAATGCTGACCCCGTTCTGATCCCCTGTTTGTTACTATGGGGGGGGTGGATGCCCCTCCACAAGTGATCTGATGCCCCACATTTCACGGGACACCCCCGATTAATAAACAGGGGTTGATGGATATGGGGTCAACATTATTCTGAGATGGGGGTGTAATGGCGTCTTTGAACTTTGATGCGGACTACCATTCCAAATGGTTGGTGGACATAAAACAGTATGAAGATGATGTTCAGCACGGGGCGCACAATTAGCATCCATATGGATTTCCCGAATGTGCCCATGAGCAAGACATTTTCTCCATTGCCATGGGGAGAATAAAGATAAGAGTTGGAGCCCCCAAGTGGTGGGGACAAATCCCCGAATTCTGTCCACCAAAGGGTTCGAGGCCCATTCAAATTCACTTGTTTTTGGATAGCTTTGGGAGCACAGGATTTTCTTCTATATGCCCGGATGCCTTTTAGGGTTGTTTTATTGAGAAACCAATCCCGTTATTTGGGGACACACCACACATCATAGCCTGAGTTTTGGAGCTGCCACGGCAACTGTCAAACCATCGCAAGGAACGGGGCACTTCCACGTGGACGGTGAAAACTGATACATCACTGAAAGAGAGTCCAACAGCAAAAGGAACAAGGTCGAACAGGTGGCCTTATTCAGCCATGTGTGTGTGTGTGTGTTTTCGGGAGGGTACCCCAAAGAGATGTTTGACAAATCGAATCGTCCGCGCGGTCCTCTGTCTTCAAGTGGGAAGTCGAGTGCAGTCTGCACCCTTGCAGGCCGACCGTCTTCGGTGAAGGCGAGGGGTCGCCTTGCTGTGCTCTCGGGACTGGCCCGATCGTCAACGCCTGGATTTTGTGGGTTTCCTCATTTTGAGCCAAAGCGGGGATGTGTTCGCCAATGCCTCGTTGGTTCCTTCAGTGAGAACACCCAACGATTTTAGTGTGCCTGCCTTTTAGGGAACTACCTTGTTGTTGGCTTCAAAAGGGAAAGGCCAGCCGTTTTAAAGATCCATTTCCTACTTGGAGACAGTCAATTGTGCTTCTTGTGCTCAAAGCCAGAGGGGTGAGTGCCGTCCTGCCGCAGAGGAGATGGACAATAGGTTTGTTTTCAAGTAGGATTTCTGGAACCTTCCACTTGCTTCGGTGTCTTTTCGGTTCGGTTTCACTTTGCAACAAGCCCAGCCTTCCACAAAACAAAAACGCACCCCCGCATGCCAGGTGGCACTTGTGACAGGGCGTCAAAGCTTGGCACCATTTCAACACACCCTGAAATCATTCTGTGACTTGAGAGACACTAAGGGCTGAACCACGTAAAACCTTGGCATTGGCAACCTGACACATAGCACAGGTATGCGTTTGGCAATGAACGGCTATGGGTATATCAGGAGTGCCGACTCCAGGGGCATGTACTGAGAGCGAGAGAGAGGGAAAGGCTTCTTTCGACTGCCAGGCCCGCGGCATACACTTGGTCGTCCCTGGAGGGCCTTGGATGGTGTGATTCAAGAAGTTTGAGCTACACATGTGGTGTTTTTTCGCCGAAAGCTTTCGCCAGACCCTGGCTTGTTGCTGAAGTAACTTAGGAAGCTGGGAGAGGCACGTTGCGTAAAGATGCTTTGCATTTGTTGCAGCTGGCCCATTTGGTTGTTCGAAAACACCCAGGGTTGGAGCAACAGGACAGCTTCCATGAAGTGGAGCAGGTTAGACCGTTGCACAACGGACACCAACAAACAACATTTGCTCGATTTCTGCCGATCTTACCGATGGCAAATTGGGCTGAGGCAGCAAGAAGGTCCCTCGAAGGTCAACTTGAGCCAGTGGCTAACGTTGAATCACGTCCCACTTGCTTCCAAGTCGAGATGGGCTGGCTATGCGTGTCTGGCGACAGCGTTGATAATTTTTGCAAGGCAAGGCAATTCGTGTGTGAAGGCGGTTGGCTGTTCTGCGACGCTGTGCTAGTCTTGCTGTGATGTTGCTGTCCTTTTCCAGTTCGAACGATGCTGAAATGAAGCCACAACCAATGCACAGCAGCAACACTGCGGAGCTTATGGCAGACCAGCCCTGGCCACTTTTTCCAACAGTGGGCTCTCACTGATCTTGCAGACTCTCCGGCGAACGGAAGCCACAGTTTTTGCAAAATTTGGACGGCGAGACAAAGAGACCCTAAGGAGGTTGGTCCATCACGAGTAGTGTAAGCCTTTTTAAACCAGAGCTGGCCACGCCCTGTTTTTTGGCACTCAGAATGACACATCGGTGTCCTTGAAGGTCATTTGCCGGAGGCCTGCTGTCATCGGGCGGCGTGTGCATTGCCCAGCGCTGCGATCCACGCAGCTATAGTTCGAGGCACCCAAGGTGTCCTCTCGCTTAGCTGGCGGCGCCTTCTGCCGGGCGGTTGCGCCCCACAGAATTTTCCCGGAGGGCGTTTCCAGATAGCGGCCCTCACTGATGTGAGCGGGCTGTAGCTTTTAGACAGCGACCCGCCTACGGGATCTACATCGATTGCGGTGGAAGAAGGGCTCAGTCATCGTACGGTCTGTCAGGCTAAATCTGCTCTCCTTAATTGGTTGGACAGAGCAAGGCTAAGGATTGAGGACCGAACGTTCGACTGAATGGGCCTTATGATGTTGATATCAAGTTGGGGTACAGACACCGGAGCAACGGACCAAGTTGTCAGGTATCGATTGGCATCGGTCTGGGCTGGCCCCCTATCGTTTTGTTGTGGTAGTGTTCAGACAGCAGTAGCAAAAGTAATAGTCATAGTAGCAGCAGAAGTAAGAGCAACAGTAGCAGTAATAGCAATAGGAATAATAGTAGTCATCGTCATCGTCATCGTCATTGTCGTTGTCTTCGTAGTCGTGGTGGTGGTGGTGGTGGTGGTGGTGGTGGTGGTGGTGGTGGTAGCAGGAGAGCAGCAGCAGCAGCAGGAGGAGGAGGAGGAGTAATAGTAGTAGCAGTAGTAGTAGCACTAGTAGTAGTAGTAGTAGTAGTAGTAGTAGTAGTAGTAGTAGTAGTAGTAGTAGTAGTACTAGTAGTAGTCGTAGTAGTAGTAGTAGTAGTAGTAGTCGTAGTAGTAGTAGTAGTAGTAGTAGTAGTAGTGCTAGTAGTACTAGCAGTAGTAGTAGTAGTAGTAGTAGCAGCCTGCAGCAGTACTCGCAGTAGCAGTAGCAGTAGCAGTAGCGGTAGCAGCACCAGTTGCAGCAGCAGTAGCAGTAGTGGTGGTAGTAGTAGTACTAGTAGTAGTAGTTGTTGTTGCTGCTGCTGCTGTTGCTGCTGCTGTTGTCGTTGTTGTTGTTGTTGTTGTTGTTGTTGTTGTTGTTGTTGTTGTTGTTGTTGTTGTTGTTGTTGTTGTTGTGGTTGTCATCGTGGTGGTGGTGGTGGTAGTAGTACTAGTACTAGTGGTAGTCGTAGTTGTAGTCGTAGTAGTAGTAGTAGCAGCCGTAGTAGAAGTAGAAGTAGAAGTAGAAGAAGAAGTGGAAGTAGAAGTAGAAGTAGAAGTAGAAGTAGAAGTAGAAGGAGAAGGAGAAGGAGAAGGAGAAGGAGAAGGAGAAGGATAAGTAGAAGGAGAAGGAGAAGTAGAAGTAGTAAGTATAGTAAGAATAGTAAGAATGAATAAGAGTCAGAGTAGCAGTGATAGTAGGTTTAGCATCAGCTTGAAGCGCTATCGTTTAAGCATCCTCATTCAGGGTTCCTGTCAACAGGGTCTATGGAGTCTGGTTGTTCGCGTCACACAGTGCCGCTAACCCTACTAGACTCTAGTGCTGAAAGGGCATCGGGACTTCAGGCGCTTCTGCGGCAGAAGAACCCCGCTCTTTGGCCGCAAGCAGGGGAGAATTGGATTTTGTAAGTTACCCAGTTGCTCCCTGCATTTGTTGGTCTTCGAAGGCTGCCCTTTCAACAGAAAAAACTTGACGAGGGGTCGCTCAAGTTCGCCCCTTTGTTCCTTATTGCTGTTGGTCAATTGGTCTCTCAAGGGTTCTTAGTTCGATTTGCTGTTTTCAGTGCATTGTACGGTATGTAGAGAGCCTCAGGTGCTACTAATGCCTTTTAAAGCTTTCAAATGCTCTCTGGCACATACCTTTGCGGGTATGTGCCAACAGTGTCCATTTTTGTTTGCCCTATGCCACAAGCAACCTACCCTACCAACAACAATCAACCACAACACACCATCCTGGCCATTTGGTTCCAAAAGGAAACAGACCATATTTGGGTGTGTCTCAAAATAGGGGAGCCCAACAAATTGGCGGTTTCCTTCTGATCTTCCTTTCCCGCCCAACCAATCGCACCGTCCAAACAAGACACACCTCTATTCGGGGGGGGTGGGGGGGCAAGTTACGACCAACCGCTTCGAGGTCGCAACGCTTGCGGAGTTGGAGGCCGCTCTTTGTCTCTCCGAAAAGCAAGGCCGGGCGATGGGCGAGTCCGCGAGTCTGCGAGTCCGAGCGGATGGCCTGGCCCACTTGAGCCACGTGCGCAAATCCGATTCGGGTAAGTGGATAGGTTAGTAAGGGACGGTCCCCTTGCCATAAAAAAAGCTGCGGAGATCCGCCTTCTTAGTTCTTGAAGCATGGTTCTGGGTCGGCCATTTGTGTACCGGGTTTTGATTGTGACTCATTTGGTTCGCATGAAAGCGGGTGACATGACTCGTGGATTTGATTTTTTGTGGCATGACAGTCTCTCGCCTTTCAGCATGGACCAGGCAGTTGGCGTCATGGTTTGGTTCAGACAGCTTATGGGGGGGGGGGCTCACCACATTCCCCAAATCTATCTAAATGGCTATGAGCTTTAATGGGCAACAGACTCTAAAATGGCTGGAGGACGTGAAGCCCCATCCGTAGGTAGCGTCTTCCGAAGGGGTTCCTAATCAACACCTCAGATCCAAGCATCCTGGGATTCTGGTAGCTCACGAGTTTTCCCATGTCCATGTGGCTGGGTTAAAACCAATAATACCATTTTGGGGTGCACCACCCATTTCAGAACCTGCTTTAGTGGGGATTGGGAGGGGTACGATTTGGATTTTGACCCATGGCCACGTGCGGAACAGTTCCGTGTGCCCATAGGCCTCATTCCTCAAGACCAGATCCGGCAGCGCTGGCAGACCCTGGCAGCCTCTGTGCTTCGGCTGGGGCAATTGACATCGGAGGTGGCTTTGCGGGCCAAATGGCTAGGATTTTGATGGTTGGACCATGTTGGAACAATCTCCGAGACTGTTGGTGGATACAGATCCAGATATTTTTTTGGGGTTCATCAAAGGGCCCCCCAAGGTCCAACAAATGAAAGCGAGCTCCCAGAAGATGTACTTCACTGTTCAATTTGTCCAGTCCCCCGAATCGCAGCTTGGCTGCGGCTTGCAAGGGGGATCCCCCTTGCAAACTGCATTTGCCTTTGGCTGGCTGTTTGTACGCCAGCGGCCACGTGTGGTTTGAGCCCAACAACTCTCAGACATGTAAACCGAATCCCAGTGTGGCTGTGCCTCCTGAGACCCAGTTCATGCCAGTCATATGGTTGTTTGATTGGCTTTCAATTGGTGTTTCTAGAGATTTCTTGCTTGTCTTTGGTGGGAATGGGCAAACAACTAACTAACTAACCCCACCATCCCCCACGAGAATCTATTTCTGGTGGAACTGCAACTTTCTGGTTCCCGGCCATTGTTTAGAGCCTGGATATTTTATTTTTCTACGACATGCGGCACTCAAAATGTCATGCTTTAAGGAGATCAAGCCAAACTCAAGGAACCACGAAGCCAAAGACTGGGGTCATTATTTTGACGGTTTCTGGGGGTCATCAAAGTCAGTAAATGGGGTTGTTTCAATTTCCCTTTAGCCCACCACTTCAGGGGTGACTTTGATCATGGGAAAATCATGAGGCCAGAAAAAGAGTTCCCTTCTCAGGTTCTCATCGAAGCTGAGGCCGTGGCCTGGTCCCTGGATGCCATGGCCAGCGGCGGGAGCTGGTGCGACGCGCTGCAGATGCTGCGCGGAGACCCGGACGCGGATGCGGAGACTTGCGCGCGAAGGAAGCGGGAACGGGGCCATGAATTTTCATGAGGGAGCCACCTTAAAAGTGATTGGCGGACATGAATCCCCACCTGAATGATGTCCACCAAAGGGTCCCTTACTAAATTCGGAGCCATGAGAATGACATGGGACCAAGTTTTTGGGAGAGTGAAACCCAAAAAGGGGAACAAAACTAGCTCGTGGACTTCTCAAGGCGCTCGAGTTTGAACTGTTGACTTTTCATGCCACACACACACGCAATTGATTCCGGCTGGACCGAAGGTTCAATGCTTCCATATAGCCACTCGGTCAGAAGTCTGAGCTTATGCATCAATTCTACACCTTGGCAAGCTCTGAGGACCTTTAAAAAGTGTATTCCCCCCCAAAAGAAAAGCAGACGGGGTTCCTCTTGGACGTCCATCTGCTGCCCAGGTGCACTGCGGAACTCCTGACGCGCCAAGACGTGGCGGACTGGGTTCGCGGATGTCGCAAGGGGTAACTCCTGAAGTGGGCGGTTTGTCTTTGGTTACCCTTTGGTGTCCTTCCATTTGCGTAAGACGTTTTTTTCCCTTTTTTTTTTTCTTTCCTTTTTTTCCCCCTCGTTGGTTTTAAAAGAATTTTATCACTACTGGAAATATATTTTTTCCAGAGACATAAAAGAACCCATCGGTTTTCTGAACCACAACTCACGGCTCGTTTTCGGATCTACATCATCAGCCATGGGGTTTGCAAACACATGGTTGGCGAAGGCAGAGGGAACATGCCAATTGCGAAGAAAGATCGGAAGATTTCTGACTGTCAAGTAAGGGTCAACACCAAGCATGGGCAACGGCGCAGAACTCATTGGCCCGCTTCCACGTCTGGATCCTTTTTACGAAGCCCTCTGGCTGCTGCTTGTAGCCAGATCCCAAATACATCCCTTTAGAGTTTCGCATAGTTTCGCCAACCTTTTTACGTGAGTCGGATGGACCTTTTTGTGTGCTTGGACCAATCTCGCAGTTTTCCCAAGCCCGAGAACCCAGTTGCCTCCACACTTGGGTCGTTTTCGCCATGCTCCACATTTGTTCGTCACCCAGTTGATCAAATCCAGCTGCGGGGAACCCCCTGGGCTACCGGTTGGAACTTTTCAACGAGGAAGGACCGCCATGGCTTGGCTCACTCCCCGAGTTTCCGCAGCGTCCGGTGGCCTCGGGTTAGGAGACCTTCGGGGCGGAGAGCGCGGCGGCGCGGCGGTTCCTGCGGGCCCTGGGCCACGTGGGGCTGGGGAATTACTACCTGCTGCGGGGAAAGCCCAGGGCAGCCCTGCGGTTCTTGGAGCAGGCCAGCTAGGGAGCTGAGGACATGGCTGGGGGGGGGAAAGGGGGAGTGGGGTGGAAGGGGTTTGAAGGGCTTGGAGTGGGGTTGGAGGGAGTTTAGTTGGAAGGAGTTTGGAAGGGTGTGGATTTGACGGCTCGGACCTGACCCGCTTGGCATGGGCGGGATCGGTCACTTTTGGTTTTTACTCGAGGAACGATAGGAGCCAACCACCAGACCAAAAGGAAACAAACAACACATTCTGATGGCCAGCTGCACGCATGCGAGCCATGATTCACCTGTGAAACCTGCGGCTGAGATTCAAGGCTCGGCTTCCTGTTGGAAGGGCTCGGTTTCAGGTTGCGTTGCTGAAGCCGAAAGCCTCCCCATCCATGTGCAGGGCCCTCCCCCATTTTGACAGAGACATGCGCGGGTGCTATGAAGACAGGTGAAATGAAAGCACGCTGTTGACACGGGGGTGTCTCAAATAGCAGGGCCCTAAAATGGTTCGTTTCCTTGCGACCCTTTTAAACATCCATCTAAACTGGGTTCCCTATCTTACGACAGGCCCATATCTTCAGAATTCCACCTTGATTCACCATGACTTCCGTTCTGTGGCTCGCCTTTAGATCCGAAACAAAGAGATCTCTTGGTTCCAAGGTCCAACTCGATTTCCTCCAAAAACTGGTCAACGACGGGTCCGAGAATCGGCGCCGGTTTGCTTCTCGCGGGGTTGGGCGCAGGCTGCCAATGGCCATGCGAAGTGGGCGCATCCTGCCGTGCTGATGAACCTCAGCGAAAGCCTCAGGGCCGAGGTTCTCCCAATGTTTCCAGACCGGAGATTTGATTCGCGCGCCCTGTGGGGGGTGTCTTTGGCTTCCTGAGAGAGAATGAGATCTGCTCAGAAGCACGGTGTGACACGCAGAATACTTGCGACTCACTTCCCGCTGATTCTGGAAATGCAATATATGTCTCAACAAGGGGACACCCCCAAGCGAGGCGATTCTGCGTTTGGTTCCCCTTTGAACAAACCTTGAAAAGGGCAGCCACAAAACAGACCGCCCCGACCAGCAGCTGCAGCAGGTGAATCCAGGAATTCCCGCCTTGCGGAGCGACCTCCATTGAAACGACCATCAGCGGCTATCAAGGTTCAGCTGGAGCCCCCGACATCATGTCTGGTACCCGCGCCGGGTCAAAAAATTGCCATCGCACTCGCGATATCTCAGACTCGGGGTTGGTTTCCTTGGAAGCCCATCCCAAGATCGGGTTTTGCAAATTTTGGACATTCTCTATGGCTAGCGGCAAATGGTGCCCCCTCCAAACGATGGGTTTCATGTAGGCCCGCCTTCAAGTTGGACCAAAAACGTGAGGTCCCTTTTGAGACCTCTCCAGATCTTCAACCACGTGTTCCTGCGAGGTGCAACGCACCTGCTGCTGAAAGAGCCCGGGCGAGCAGTGCCGTACCTGGCAGAGGCTCGTTCTTCTTTCTGTTCTTGTTCGGTCCCGTCTGCTTGTTGCCGCGGTTCTTTGTCGTCTTTCTGGGTTTCTGGTCTCATCATGTCTCGCATTTTTGCCAACAGCTGGCGGCTATGGGGGTCTTTGCCTGGATAGGTGGGGTGGTTCGGAGCCGCTTCCGAGGCTGCTCGCATAGGCCAGTTTACAATGGCTAGAGTCAGGTCAACCAAGCATCCCTCACAACAAAGATCTCAAGCCATGCTTGTCACTAACAAATTTGGGTACCTAGAACGCATCAGAGCAACCACCAACCCACCCTAAGCCAACCCAAAACCAGCCCCTGGACCAACCCCGAACCAACCCGAACCAGCCCTAAACCAACCCCGAACCAACCCTTAACCTTTACGTACCTATAACGCATCAGAGCAACCACCAAGTTGAGAGAACCTACCCCCGAGAGGTGCAGCCAACGGCCTCTTGAGACGCCAGGCGATCCTCGCTCTCCGCAGCGCCGCGGGGCCCCTGTGCCCGCGCGCGTTTGAGGAGGCGGGGCGAAGCGCTGAGTCTGCGCGGGGAACGGGGAACGGGCCCCCGGTCTTTTCGCCGGGCCCTTTGGGTGATGGAAGGGGAAACCATATTTTTGGGCAGGCCCTTCAGATTTTGAATCGGAATTTGTCTTTGAACAACCCTAGACCCTAGAGGAGAGGGGAGGATCCCCCACTTGCTTGGACTCAGTCTTCCACAAGCCAACTACAAGCCTTCGCCAAGGGGTACCCTCCCATCCACCAACATGGAACCTGACAGGCGGTCTCTGGAAGACCGTTCTTCTTAAAGTTCTTGAGGCTCCCAGAGCACCCTTTGCCAGGTGGAAGCCGCTGAGAGCGCGGCCAGCGCGGCGGTGGCCACCGTCCTGGGTCAGGACGGATGGACAGATTTGGAGACAGGGGGATGCCAGTGGGTCTGTCTCAAGATGTCTGGGCCACATACCGCGGAAGGTGACGCGAAATCCAGACATCGCAAAACGAAATGAAACCATGGTTGAACAAACATAAGGTTTGTTGGTATTTACGGGGGAATCATATCATTCCAGCAAGGTTTCTGAGGTGGTGCGGGATTAGGTCCATCCACAGTAGTGCTGATCCTTCTGGCTTCCTCTGGAGTGTAAAGTACACGGAAGATCACGAGCTGATGAGTGGAGTGAGTTTCACCGTTCTGTTTTTGGCGTTTGAAAGGAAATCTGTTTGGATGGTGTTGAAAGGGAAACTGAAGAACACCAGCTGTTTGCTGGCGGTCTTCAATTTCCATTTGAGTTTGAGGGCACGCACGTTTTTTTGCTTGTTGTGGTAGGGATTACCCAAGCCTTGCGCCCCCCAACACTGTGGGCCTGTATTTGGTTAGTGCTTGAAGGGAAACCGCGCAAAACCCTTCTTATCTATAGAACCCCTCCCCCCTGCCCAAATTTCATGCAACACCTCTTCCATTTCTTGATTGTCATTTCACCAGGTCATGATTGACTTCGAACTAACATGCTTTGTCCTCGAGCGACACCTCTGCGAGAGCTCCCTCGAGTTTTTTTTGACTGGAAGAAGGCGACAAGTTAGAGCAGCAGGAATTTGGTTGCACATGTCCCCTAGTTTTTGCGCAAAACGCGCTGCTCTTTCTTTTTTTCTATTTTTTGTTCATTTCCTTGGGCAACAGCTTTGGGTTCAGAGCTCCCCAGTTTGGGACTGGCACTCCCGGGCTTGCAACACCCCTCGCTAGGGCGCAGCGGCAGTGCGTGCCGGGCAGGTAGGGGCCATCCGGTGTCACATGCGTTGAGCCACGCGGTTGAAATGGTGATCCTTCTTGGGGACCCTTTTATATAATGACAATGACACCAGGGTTGCAGAAAGGGGTCAGTTTTCTCAACTTCCTCACTGGTGATGTGGTTTGTGTTTGCTAAGAGCGGCTGGGCATTTTTTTACATTCATTGTTCCCCAAGTAAAGACAAACTTCTCTTCAACATCCCATTATCATTGGCACAATAGTTCCGTTGAAGCTGATCCAGCACGCCGAAGTGACTCCCAAAGCCAGGTAAATCTGACCCACACCAATGATGATGATCGAGCAACTCTGCAAACGCAACTCTCTAAACAACCTTTTAACAAGCGAGCAAACTAGCTCTACGCGTAAGCAACTCAACCAAATACAATGCCGCTGCTCAGTCAACGGCCAACGCACGCGTACGTGACGCAAGATGCAGAGACATGGCATATTGTGACATCACATCACATCACATCCTGTGATCACTCCCGTGTCGTAGCAGCACATGACATCACATCACGCCACATAACATCACAGGACGTCGCATGACATCACACAACATCACACGACATCACAGAACATCACATGACATATTACAATGACATGGTGTGACGTGACATGACTCAATGACATGACATGACATAGTATCACACCGCACCACACCACACCACACCACACCGCATAGTATAGCATAGCATAGCATAAGCTAGCAGAGCGTTCACACAGCATGACATGACATCACATCACACAGCGCCACGCCACATCACACGACGTCACATAATCTTCATGGGCACAATTCACACATGGAGCACTTGGGGCTGGCCAAGGTGCCGTCGGATGTCGGCCCGGGCTCCTGGATGGGTTGGGCGCAGAGTCGGTTGAGGTCCCGGGTTATGGTTAGGGACACTAGCTGGAATGCTTTCAAAAGGGAGCTACATGAAGCAACTATTTGAAGGGTCCTTCTTTTGACACATACCCGAACGGCAAAGGTTTCGCTGAGCTTTCAGCTTTCATGTAGAAGCACTGCTAAAAAGCGCCCCAAGGTTGCACACAAAATGGCTATCTGGCCGTTCCCCTCTTGTGGTGCAAGCACATGCTTCAGCCCTCTTTTCGCTGCGTTATGTTGAGCCACAAACTGCAAGAGGGTAGCAACAGGTAGACCTGGTTGTATTGATCAACCCCTTTCAAGCAGCGACTTAGTGCAGGTCGCAAACTTTCCACCATGAGCAGGCGCCAGTGGGCTTGCGGAGAGGGGAAGGAGGTCGGTCAACACGTGATTCGGTTGACGGTGCATCCTTTTGCTCCGATCAGCAGTCCAGTATGACCATATCAGTTACCGATCGCGCACAGACTGCACTGGCTGCTTCATTGGTATTGCGCCTGCTGCTGCTGCTGCTGCCGCCATGGTCTGGGTTACTGTGGATCCAAAACAACGTGCCGGTGCATCTGCGCCGGTGAAGGAAATGCCAAACGGTCAAATGAGGTGACAAGGTGACTCGAATGAGCTTGATGCCATGTTTGAACGACAACTCCTGTCAGGGTGGCACATCTATGGAATTCTGCGACATCTTCCTCGATTCAACCCGTGGCCCTTTCCAACATCTCAGATGCCCGCAGGCAGTTTCCTCGAGTCTCTCTCTCTGGGCCTCAGCCACGTCAACATGACTCAATTGCAACTTCTCGTGCAATCGAAAACCCATCTCACCCAAGCACGGGCACCTTCATTTATCCTATCTTCAACCATCATGGAAGAGGCTTTGTCAAGAGGAAGTCTTTCAAAGCCCCTTGCCCTTTCATGAGTATTGAGGATATGTCCGTTGACCAGATCTCTGGGTGATTCAACCACCAAAAACTTGTTTTTCTTAAAAAAAAAAACGTGCGGCCATTCGCGTTTACGCAGGTCCGCTGTGATTCAACCAAACCGGAGGCCCCTTTCCCGGCGACCGGACCGCACGGTTTACGCCAGTTCCCTGCGCGTGGAGCCGGGCAGCCTCCTTGGCGCCGAGGCGGGGGGCTTGGCGTGCCGCGTTTTTTTTTTTTTTGGAGGCGCGTGAGGTGTCCTTTTTGTATCGGGATGGAGCTCATTTCGGAGGGCAGGCCATAAATTGAGGACGTCGAAGTATGGAAAACATGGTTTGAACTTCTTACCCCTTTCCATGTCGACGTAGTGGTCTGTGAAGCAGGTAGGTGATTGATTTGAACATGACAGCACGTGGCAGCCTCCAGCCAGGTCTCATGTAAAAAGGGAGGGCTGTCAATCCTAGGGGATATGCCGTGGATTGAGCAGGGAGGCTTCGGGCCTGGCGGCTCCTTTGTTCGGCCGGGATAATGCAGTGCAACCCGCCAGCTACTGCTCGGCAAGAGAGCCAGCTTTTCCTTCTCTCGTGGCAACAGAAAGTGCGACCATCGGCATGTTCCGGTTACAAGTGCCAGGGAGGATGGTGGAAGCTTGCGGTGCACATTCATGAGGTAGTTCAGCGGCGTAAAGCAAACACTTCAGCAAATATTCCATGTGACTCACTGCGGGAAATTCTTCGGAGCTCGCCGATCGTGGGTAAAGCGAGCTCACCCATAAAGCTCCTTATTCCCGTTTGTGAAGTGTAAATTCCTGGAGGTTTGCATGAGGCAACGCGCAGCGCTGAGCGCCAGAGAGCGAGAGAGGGAAATTCCCAGAGGAGGGCTCTGGTGCTCGTGCTGCTGACTGCATGTCACCGGATAGGTCTCTTCCGCGCGGACCAAGCAAGATTCGCGATTTCCTGAAGCAGCAGACAAGGAATGTAGGGCTTAGCTGCATGTTCGCATACGGGACCCTCAAACATGGTGGGTAGTTTGTTGGGTAATCCCATAGACTCGACGCAAAAACCCCGCATATGGAAGGCATTGGCTCTCAAAGGGCACACCGCGCCAGGCGACCATTGAGAGTCAGGCGAGGTGCTTGCGGAAAGATCGCTTCTCTTGCAATCGTCTTGCTTTCGCGCGGGCAGTGTGTTAGACATCGCAACTGGGGCCAATGCGTTCCCTTTTGCTGGGATTTGTGAGCTTGGGTTCCCCTTTGCCGCTCCTTTTGAGCGGCGCGTAGGGTACTTCCTGACATGCGGACCATGTGCTGGCGTTCATGTTTTGTCGCGTCCATTCAGCTCAGTTGAAGTTGGTCAGAACGGGGGAATGGTGGACAGAAATCCCCATGTAAATGATGCCCGCCAAAGGGTGCCACAATTATTTCAGGCACACCCACTCCCATCCCAAAACCAGCATGGCACCTGCAAGGGGCCTTTCTCCTAGGCCAGTTCTTGCGCACAGAGAACGCAGATATGAGTTGACCTGGCTAAAGCGGTTCATTGGATCCTGGTCCAAGGAACCGCGGCAGCCTAGGGACCAACACGCTACCAGCCAAGTGACCGTTCTGATTCCGGCAGGCACAGTGCTCCCAGCTACGAGGCCTAGGCGGGGCAAAAGGGGTTCTGGCGCTGGCGCTGGAGGCCTTCCAAGCTACTCTTGCTTTTGGGGAAGCCTCCATGTTCAGTTCCACCATTGTGACTCCTCCCAACAAGCATGAAAGCTGCAGGAGGATTTTCGAAGACGACCTTTTTGTTTGGGAATCGCTTCCCGATCGTCCACGATTGGTAAATTGGTAAGTGAGTGAACATGGGATGCACTGAACAGGGATTTGTGCAAGGGGCTCGTTTCTGCGAGGGCGCTTCGGCCTGGTGCGGAAGGAGTCTGGCCAGGAGCGCTGCCGAGCTCTTGTCAGGTTTGGCGCCCGCGGATGAATTTCATTCTTTGTTTCCCCGCTGAAAGGCAATGAAAAGGGCTTCCCCTTTTTTCCACTTTTCTGCCTTCCGGGTCACTGGCAAGTGGAGTTGGGCCGTGCCTTTCCAAGCAACATTTTGCCCATGTCCATGGTTGGGAGGGAATCTCGCAAGCTCACTCCCTCAGTTCTTGAACCTTCTACTTTTTGGGCCCGTTTGGGGGGTAACCATTCGGTACACCCAACTGTGTCGGCTCGTGTTTGGCCGCTGGACCCACCGGGCCCGCTGGAGGATCTCCTGGAGTACGAGGTGGACTGCGCTGTGGTGCGGACGCTGCTGGTGGCAAAGGCCGTCCATTCGATCATCCGCTGAAAAGGGTCTGGCTGGGAAAGTAAACGGAACATCACCTTTTTGAAGGGTTTCTATGGTTAAGCTAAAGAAGATTAAGTTGAGAAGAAGGGTTTCGGCATTTGGGCGAGATGTTCAAAGGCAAACCCGGGCGGCCCCATGCAAGCACCATCCACCGGACCTGCTGGGACTGGCCTTGAAGGTCTTGCTGTGGCCCTGGCCGGAGTTTGGAGAGGTGCAACAGAAGGAGGCGGGTTTACAGCTCCACTTTTTGACCACATCCTGCAAGGAGGGAATTGGAGGAGGTGCTTTTTGCAGTGACAGTTCTGAGAACCGAGGGGTGCCTCTGCGTATCAGAGCTGCATGGGGGTTTCAAGCTTTTTGCTCAAGTGTCGCACTGGGGCAAACGGATGTGTGTGTGTGTGTGTGTGTGTGTGTGTGTGTGTGTGTGTGTGTGTGTGTGTCTGTGTGTCTGTGTGTCTGTGTGTCTGTGTGTCTGTGTGTCTGTGTGTCTGTGTGTCTGTGTGTCTGTGTGTCTGTGTGTCTGTGTGTCTGTGTGTCTGTGTGTCTGTGTGTCTGTGTGTCTGTGTGTCTGTGTGTCTGTGTGTCTGTGTGTCTGTGTGTCTGTGTGTCTGTGTGTCTGTGTGTCTGTGTGTCTGTGTGTGTGTCTGTGTGTCTGTGTGTCTGTGTGTCTGTGTGTCTGTGTGTCTGTGTGTGTGTCTGTGTGTCTGTGTGTCTGTGTGTCTGTGTGTCTGTGTGTCTGTGTGTCTGTGTGTCTGTGTGTCTGTGTGTCTGTGTGTCTGTGTGTCTGTGTGTCTGTGTGTCTGTGTGTCTGTGTGTCTGTGTGTCTGTGTGTCTGTGTGTCTGTGTGTCTGTGTGTCTGTGTGTCTGTGTGTCTGTGTGTCTGTGTGTCTGTGTGTCTGTGTGTCTGTGTGTCTGTGTGTCTGTGTGTCTGTGTGTCTGTGTGTCTGTGTGTCTGTGTGTCTGTGTGTCTGTGTGTCTGTGTGTCTGTGTGTCTGTGTGTCTGTGTGTCTGTGTGTCTGTGTGTCTGTGTGTCTGTGTGTCTGTGTGTCTGTGTGTCTGTGTGTCTGTGTGTCTGTGTGTCTGTGTGTCTGTGTGTCTGTGTGTCTGTGTGTCTGTGTGTCTGTGTGTCTGTGTGTCTGTGTGTCTGTGTGTCTGTGTGTCTGTGTGTGTGTCTGTGTGTCTGTGTGTCTGTGTGTCTGTGTGTCTGTGTGTCTGTGTGTCTGTGTGTCTGTGTGTCTGTGTGTCTGTGTGTCTGTGTGTCTGTGTGTCTGTGTGTCTGTGTGTGTGTCTGTGTGTCTGTGTGTCTGTGTGTCTGTGTGTCTGTGTGTCTGTGTGTCTGTGTGTCTGTGTGTCTGTGTGTCTGTGTGTCTGTGTGTCTGTGTGTCTGTGTGTCTGTGTGTCTGTGTGTCTGTGTGTCTGTGTGTCTGTGTGTCTGTGTCTGTGTGTGTGTGTGTGTCTGTGTGTCTGTGTGTCTGTGTGTCTGTGTGTCTGTGTGTCTGTGTGTCTGTGTGTCTGTGTGTCTGTGTGTCTGTGTGTCTGTGTGTCTGTGTGTCTGTGTGTCTGTGTGTCTGTGTGTCTGTGTGTCTGTGTGTCTGTGTGTCTGTGTGTCTGTGTGTCTGTGTGTCTGTGTGTCTGTGTGTCTGTGTGTCTGTGTCTCTGTGTCTGTGTCTCTGTGTCTCTGTGTCTCTGTGTCTCTGTGTCTCTGTGTCTCTGTGTCTCTGTGTCTCTGTGTCTCTGTGTCTCTGTGTCTCTGTGTCTCTGTGTCTCTGTGTCTCTGTGTCTCTGTGTCTCTGTCTCTGTGTCTGTGTGTCTGTGTGTCTGTGTGTCTGTGTGTCTGTGTGTCTGTGTGTCTGTGTGTCTGTGTGTCTGTGTGTCTGTGTGTCTGTGTGTCTGTGTGTCTGTGTGTCTGTGTGTCTGTGTGTCTGTGTGTCTGTCTGTGTCTGTGTCTCTGTGTCTCTGTGTCTCTGTGTCTCTGTGTCTCTGTGTCTCTGTGTCTCTGTGTCTCTGTGTCTCTGTGTCTCTGTGTCTCTGTGTCTCTGTGTCTCTGTGTCTCTGTGTCTCTGTGTCTCTGTGTCTCTGTGTCTCTGTGTCTCTGTGTCTCTGTGTCTCTGTGTCTCTGTGTCTCTGTGTCTCTGTGTCTCTGTGTCTCTGTGTCTCTGTGTCTCTGTGTCTCTGTGTCTCTGTGTCTGTGTCTCTGTGTCTCTGTGTCTCTGTGTCTCTGTGTCTCTGTGTCTCTGTGTCTCTGTGTCTCTGTGTCTCTGTGTCTCTGTGTCTCTGTGTCTCTGTGTCTCTGTGTCTCTGTGTCTCTGTGTCTCTGTGTCTCTGTGTCTCTGTGTCTGTGTGTCTGTGTGTCTGTCTCTGTGTGTCTGTGTGTCTGTGTGTCTGTGTGTCTGTGTGTCTGTGTGTCTGTGTCTGTGTCTGTGTCTCTGTGTGTCTGTGTGTCTGTGTGTCTGTGTGTCTGTGTGTCTGTGTGTCTCTGTGTCTCTGTGTCTCTGTGTCTCTGTGTCTCTGTGTCTCTGTGTCTCTGTGTCTCTGTGTCTCTGTGTCTCTGTGTCTCTGTGTCTCTGTGTCTCTGTGTCTGTGTCTGTGTCTCTGTGTCTCTGTGTCTCTCTGTGTCTCTGTGTCTCTGTGTCTCTGTGTCTCTGTGTCTCTGTGTCTCTGTGTCTCTGTGTCTCTGTGTCTCTGTGTCTCTGTGTCTCTGTGTCTCTGTGTCTCTGTGTCTCTGTGTCTCTGTGTCTCTGTGTGTCTGTGTCTGTGTCTGTGTCTGTGTGTGTGTCTGTGTGTGTCCTCCAAATGCTTGATCCGCACTTTGTTTCAAGATGGGATCTCTGGGGGATGTCGCAAGTTGTCTTTATGAGAATGCCTCCCCTGGCATATCATAGACAGATAGCGACATAACCCTTGTCCCTTCCCTGTCCACTTCCAAGCCTATCAATCATCAACAGTGGATAGGTGGGGAAGGGCCATCTCCTCTCTCGCTTCTTCTTTCATGAACTCTCATTGACAGCGAGGCGAGAGGGAAGAATGAGAGTGAAAGAGTTGAGTGGCCCCCACAAACCATCCAACTTGTGGTTTCCGAAAAAAAGAATCCCCTTCCGGTTCATTCCCAACACCCCGCCTCGTCGTCATTTCCCATCGCGCCAGCCCTTGTCGACTTCAGGCGGAGGCGCCGGGCCAGAGCCACCAAAGCCACCAGAGCCTGCAGGACTGCATCCAAAGCGGTGATCGCCTTGTGGCTAGGAGCAATCACAAGCAGATCTCCCGCAAATCAACATGGAACCCGAAATGTATAGTGTTTGACGATCCAATTTTTGTGTGCCGCCGTTTTCATTCGGTACCCTTTTGAGGTGGGTTCATAGGGACATCTACATGAGATCGACATTTTGGGGGAGGGTTCAATAGCCATTCCACTGCTTGCATGTCAAAGTCATGTAAGTGACAGGGCATGTCTTGAAACCTGATGTTGCGCAAGAGAGCTGGCGATCGGCAGGAAGCACTTCAAGGCATGGCAAGACCTGGCATTGCCAAGCACGCAGCCAAGCTTAAGAAGGCTGGGTATCAAGCGTCAAGCGTTTGAGAAGAAGCTGCGGCCCTTCCAATGGGAGCCGGCCCCTCCCACTTGTAGGTTCCCATTCAGATGCAGACCATGTATGAAGAACCTTGGGAAGAGACTTGAGAGGTCAGGAAAATTGTTCGGAGGATGGATGGCTGTTGACCTGCAAGTGAGGACTTGATGGGCGGGAGTTTTAAGCACCTGAATACCCATGCACGAGCCTTCAACCTGTTTAGCTGACGTTTCCCAAAGCCTTTGGTGCCAAGGGCTAAAACTGGATGTTGTAAAGGAAACCAACAAACAGGCTACCTATAGTTAGGCAGAGTTCCCTTCCCCTCGAAAATGTAGGGAAGAAGCATGTTGGCATCCTGGGGGGACTCAGGTCCCCCTCCCACCTCCAAGCCACTCTTGCGAGGCCTGGCGAGAGTGGGGCAAGGTCTGCACCCTGCCGGGTGCCGGCCTGGTGCTGCGGGAAAGCCTCTTGCTGGGACCCGAGCCGAAGCGCCAAAGCGCCTGAGCGCCGAAGCGGGAGGTTCGCAGACCCGGCGGTGTGCCAGAAAGATCATCTTCTTCAAACGACCTTTTGGTGGGTTCCATATGAGTGTCAGAGCGGGTATGCAAAAGTCAAGAGGCCAAGGCAGCTGGCAAAGCAGCTGGAGGGTGCCTTGTGTTGGAGGTGCTGCATCGTGTGATGCGACAGGCCGAGAGGATATCGGACAATTCTGCGAGGCGCACGGGGCGAATCCCGGGACCCACGCCCCCAGGCTCTGCGCGTTGCACGGCGCCTGCGCCCTGGCGCAGCTCAGCTCGCAGCCGGTCTATGGGCTTTGGGCGCTGCCGCCTCTGCGCCCGGGCGCCTGGAAGGGGAGGGCAGTATGGACTAGGGACGCGAGAGAGGAGGAAGGAGAAAGTCGGGGGTGGTGGGGGTGGGGGAGAAGGCAGCACAAAGGCGAAACGGGCTGGGCGGCCACTATGCTCCCGAAAACCCATGACCAGATCACGATATGCAGTTACCGGTCCACAATGGCAATGGTTGAACCCATGTTGGGACCCCAAAAGTTCCCATTCCAATTTTTGACCGCATCACCCATCACCCGCCATTTGTTTTCTTTTCTTCTTTCTCCAAATCGAGGCGAGGGCCTGGTGTTGGCCATCGTTCTCTTCGGCTCGAAGCACCCTTTGGCGCTGAAGCTGGTGAATGCCTGCCAGCGCCTGCAGGGACGCCCAAGCCGTGAGGATGGCCAAGGACCCGGAGTCGAGCGAGCGAGGAGGGCTCACTGGAACCTCGGAATGCTGACCCCATGTGGCTGTGGGTCAACACCAATGGGATCCCAAGTTGGGGTAGGTGAATTCACCACCCATTTTAGAACCTATTTTTGGGGATTGGGATGTTCACTGGGGGTACGGGCTTTTGACCCATGGCCATATTTAATGTTTATTAATAGGGGGGTCGGGGCCCCTCCAAAAGTGGTCTGATTCCCCACTAAACCCAGGGACCCCCCTATCAACAAAAACTGGGGTTGATGAATATGGGGTCAACAGTGCGGGTGATTTTGCAGGGACTTTCCTTGTGGCATCGGCATGGTATGGCCAGGGAGTTGGCCAGGATCTGAGCCGATTCCAACGCTGCCGGCGCGGCAAGGCAGTGCAAGGCGTGGATGGGAGTTGGCATTAGCCAGGGACGCCTCTGAATGTCTTAAGATGAGCCAGGTCTGCGTCAAACAACCCAAAAAAGCCGTAAGCAAAATGAAGTGTGACCGGCCATAGGCATCTTGATCCAAAAGTTGATCAGGTTGCTTGCAGGCGAGCGTTTTTCGGTCGACCAGTGAATTCGGCTCTCAAGCTTACAATGTATCCACTGATTCATTAGGGGCTCCCCTTTTTTGTCACCCTCCAAACCCTTCTTTTTGACCCTCCAAACTAGTTTGGAGGGACAAGAAAAGAGGTTCCCCATTCATTGGCAACTTACGAGGGATGGACTTTGGTCGTTTTTCCTCACGCCAGGTGCAAACCCAAGGTTTCGAAGCCCAAGCCAGAGCCGCGCCCAAAGACGGCGGCGGCTTTCAGAGCCTCGGCTTTAGCGGAAGGCTTTGGGATGCTGGCCCCAAGTCGGCGGGCCACTGACATACCGTGGCCGAAATTTGGCGCCTGTGGATGAACCCCCGGGAGTAGTGGGTCAAAGTACAAGTACCTACCAGCGGCTGCAGGACTTCGTTCATTGGTTCGGGGGGTGCGGGGTTGGCGGCTTGAGGACAGAAGCGCAGCACGGTGCCTCCCTGGAACGCGGGTCCTGGAGTCCAGCTTCCAGCAGGCGGCTGTGGGTCAAAACGAGTGGGATCCCATGTTGGGGTAGGTGAATTCACCACCCATTCTAGTTTATTTTGGGGATTGGGATGTTCACTGGGGGTACGATTTGGATTTTGACCCATGGCCAATTGTCAAGGGCTCCTCAGCATGGACCAATCCCTAAGGGGCTTGGCATTTTTTTAATAAAAAAGATATAACAATAATAATAATGATGATGATGATGATGATAATAATACCAAAAAAGAATTTCGGGGCCCCAATGGCTTTTTCGGGTTGCGCAATGCTTGGATCGAGCTCCTTGCAAGGCTCTGACGCTGGAAAGGCGAGGACCTCAATCCGCGATTCGTTTTGTCAGAGACGTGGCGATCAAGACTGGCTGGCTGCATACGAGTCGGCAGCGCCTTTTGGTGCCTCCTGTCAAACCCAGAACAGAAAACAGGGTGCCCGCCCCAGGTGCGACGCACGTACTTGCTTTTTTTTGGTGTGTGTTTGTGTTGGTCGGTTGAAGAAAAGCCTCCCAACCCTGCGACAGCTGGTGACTTGGCTAGGCTGATGGCGTGGCCACCGGCCCGGCAGCCTAGCCCTTTGTGGGTCAAAGCTTTGTGAAGTGGCTATTTTGGGATGTGGTTCTTGGGCTTTCGAGGGATGGCAATCGACTTTGAGCAGTCGACAAGGGCGTGCAGGATTTCGTCTTTTCCATGGACCATCCCCCCATCCTAGGAGTCGTGGCACTGCCAGTCACGCTGCCAGTCCCAACAGTGGAGAATCAACTGTCTCCCCATGTTGCTTCATCTGTTTTTGTCCCGACAATGCTATGTTGCATGGGGATTGACCGGTTGACCCACTCATCTCCTGGTCTAACCCCCTTAAAGCCAAAAGGAGGAACGTGTTTGACGCATGGAGCTGGCCCCCTTAAAAGACCTCCACGCACCAGCTGCCCGGCTCAGGACGAGCCAGCCCGGGCCCGCAGGCCCCGCAGGCCCCGCAGGCCCCGCAGGCCCCGCAGCGGCCACGTGAGAGGCGCCGGCAGAACGTGCGCGCGCGGCGCTGGGCGATTTGAAGGAAGTGGTGCCAGTGGCGAGTTTCCTCGTTTGTTTCCTTCCAAAATTGATGATTGTCCCCTATGTCAAAGCTGACTGGGGGCTCTTCGCATTGGTGTCCGCACTTGTTCTCCAAGAATCTTAAAGAACGTCCCCGGTTCTGGCAAGATTTGACATTTCTGGCGACTTCTCAGTGTGCTCACCTTGAAACCATCAGTTTTGGAGGCCCCCCTAATGTTAAAACCCAAATAATTGCCAACCAATTGCCTTGGAAATGGCAAGCTCGCGTTTTTTGAAGCTGCAAACACGGCACTGTCTCGGAACCCATGCACTGGGACACACAAAAACCACTACTGCACATGTTGTGGCGCAGTAGAGTTCTTTGCTTTTGGCGCTTTGGGGCATGCTGCGTAGCGGTGGCTCCAATTGGACCTGCGGTGGATGGGCGTTCGCTTGAAGCTGCGCGCCCGGCAGGCGGCCCATCACGCCGGTGAGGCGCCTGTACTGGCAATCTCCGGAGCAGGTCAGGCAGCTGCGGGCCATCAAGCGGCAGGCGCGCGTGAATGCGGCGGGAAAGCCGAGCAAGCGAGGCAGAAGTTGATCTCGGAGAAGTTCTTGGAGCCTTACACGACCTCCCCTTTTCTTTTTTCGGCCATCATGCCGCAAATCTTTGCAATAAGGGAACGCTCCGAAAGCTCCACCTGGTGCCATGATCATGCTTCAAAATTTGCCATACTTGCGAGAAGGGAAACGCCCTGGTGCCCCAAACACCCGCGGGGCAGTCTCCGTCTCTCAGCTTGCCCCCTTGGGGCCCCTGGGCGGAGGCCGTGGCGGAGCTGCGGAGGGAGATCCACGCGGCGCGGGAGAATGTGGGGCCCACGATCGATTTGGGGGGGGGACCGGGGGGACGGGGTGGCGGTTCTCCTCTCCGGGAGAATCCAACGGGCCTCCGCAAGACCAACCAGCTTTTGGGGTTTCAAAGCTGGCAGATTCACCCAGCACCAGTTGGAAGTGGTGTATCCCCATCGGATCGGGTTTCATTGGTGACTGGCGCGAGGTGGCTTTTGCCCTTACGAAGATGTTGCAGGGGGAAGTCAAGGACCACTCGCAAGAGTGTACCAAGGATAAATGAAGCATGTTGCATGCAGGCTTTGAGTTTACCATCCACGTTGAGGCGGAATGGTCCGGAATTGAGACGTTGGGAGGCACCGTTCTTCTCCCAGAAATGAGACGCTTTGACAGCTGCCACACAATGAAGCCAACCTAGTTGCAAGGGCAGGCATTCATTCGTTACCAAAGATGAACCGTTTTTGTAGGCGGTTTGTAACGACGTGAAACTGCAGACATGAGACCAGCGGATTTCTGAGTTTTTGCACGCGTCGTTGTGCTGCTGGATATTTGGATGTTTGCATTTGCAAGCACTGATCTCATACTTTGATGCCAAAGGTGAAACCAAACATGTGCTCCACCAATGCTTCACGTCACTCCTGCGCCATGCGCACGCCCGAGGATTTGAACGCATCGGTGACCTCCATAAACTCCGCGAGGCAAGGCAGAGTCGGAGAAGTTCAGACCAGTTGGAACAGCCAAAGAATCCCAAGCACACGTGCGAAATTAGATCAGAACATGCCTTGAGTGGGAGAAATCGCCACGTTTCTGCGTTATTGGCTCCTTGAGTCAAGCTCAACGTGGCCTCTTGCCCTGACGATCAGTCGCCCGTTGCTTCCAGTGAAGCCGGCCTTAAAATGGCAGTGCCCAAGGTTCCATGTCAATATGGAAGTGAACTTTGATCCGGAATTCCGCCAAAGCGGCTCGACCTAAATCCTTACATGACGCCCGGTCCCAAATCAAGATTCGCACCTGTGCTCCCCCAAGCCAAGCAGCCGGGTTTTCGTGTGCTGCCCCAAGCCAGGAGCTTGCCAGCCCGACCTGTGAGCTGCCGAGGCAGGAGTGGGAAGCCTGTCCAAGTCTCCTGTCATCTCTGTCCGACTCTCGTTAGGTTGATTCCCTTTTGAAGCTGTCGGGAGTATCTCGGTGAGGTCTGCGCTGTGGCCCTTTGGTCAATCTGAAGGGGAGCTTGGTTCATCTCAAAGGACGGGCAAAGGACACCGAACGCCTGAGAAACATCCATTTTACCGGTACATCTCATGAGTTTCGCCCGTCTCGTGCAGTGGCTTTTGTTGAGAGAACGTTGATGGCCAGAATCAGCTCACCCTCTATTGGCAGTTTGGGTGTCTGATGTGGATGGAGGTCAGGCGTTAGCTGGTAATTGCAGTAAGGTCTGTCAGCAAGTATTCTAGGCAGCGTCGGCTTCGAAGCAAGGGTCACCGCCTTTTGCAGCACATTTTGCAACGTCTTCTTTCAAAGGAACAACTTCACAGAACTCAGGGGAAGCATACACTAGCATACACTTCTACAGATCGATTTGCCCAGCAACCCTTTGGCTTTGCCCACCCCTGTCGCCCCGTCCCCCCTTTTCGCTTTGCTGCTCTCAAAGCCCCCCGCCACCCCCGCCACCCCCGCCCCCCACCCCCACCCCCCCCACCCCCGACCCCTCCCCCCCCCCAAGCCCCGCAACTGCCCCGCGCCAGGCCGCTTCTGCCGCAGCTTCTCGGAGACGGGCGGCTCCGCGGCTTCCACGCCCAGGGCGAAGCCGGCGCCAGGCCGACGCCGGACAAAAAAACGAGGGCCCCTAGGTTTCCTTCCATTTTGTTCGGCCGGTGTGTGTGTGTGCGTGTGCGTTGGGGGCAGGGACCCCTAAAACATGATGAAAAGAAATGGCTCCCTTGTTGCTACCGGGTTGCTCCTTGCTCCGGGCCTTTAGTCGATGACCAGATTCATTTTTAGCCAGGGTTTCTTTGGGCTTCCCAGCTGAGGATTTTTTTCCTTTCGCTTGCGCCAGGAATTTCAGAGCCACACTGCATCCACAACTCAGTGCCTGACGCCTGACTCAAGCGCGCGAGGCACGCCACGAGAAGCTGTTTGGCAGATCGCCGCGCGCTTGCGGGAGCGAAGGCTCGTGCATGTGTCAAGATTCAAGATGTCAGGCCACTGGTCACGTTCCAACTGGGGATGATGCCAACTGTTGCAATTGTGTGGGACCTTTCAGGTAGGCGAGCTGTAGCCATAAGATCGAATTGAATAGCAGATAGCAGTACTGTGGCAGGAATGCGTGCCGGGATGACACAGAATGCTCAGTGGAAGCTTTCTGCTCAGTTGACAGGTGTACCAAGACTGGTTGATGCACACAAAACCTGGGAGGGTGTCGCATGGGCGCTTGCCCAGTTTCCCGACGCGGATTTGATTGAGGAAAAAGGATGAGGGACCCATCCTTACATCGCAGGATTAGCAACTCTCTTCCCAAGCTCCTGATTGCTTGATACTTTTGGGAGGATACTTTGAGTAAGAACCAACACGTTCCAGAATTTGTGCTCAACCACTTAGGCAGCGAGGGCTTTGCAGCCCGTCCTTCTCATTTGGGTGTCTATTCTGTCGAGGATACCCGGTTACAGTCATTCTAGAGGGAGGACAAGTGTACCACCATGATTTTGTGGCTCCAGATAGAAAACGGCTTGGACCTGTCTTTCCTTTTGCGGTTTTTTCCTCGGTGCTTTTTAGCGCTCTTGTGGCATTCGTCTTACATCCAGGATCCGCAAAAAAAACAACACGAAAAATCGGATCGCGCGGCTCTCCACGCTGGCAGGTGTAGACCACCTGACGTGCCTCGGCTCACCGGAACCAGTGGCTTGGGATGGATGTTGGGCCGGGGGTTCCTTGGGCAAAGGGTTCCCTGGTTTAGCTGGAAACCGGGTGGTTTTTCACCGGAAAATCAGGGAACATTTCGAGAGTCCCCCAGGAATTGAATCCCTCATGTCAGATGAAGTGGCAGGCTGAAAGCACTTGTTGCGGGTTCTTTGCTGAGAAAGCGGTAACAAGTTTGCCTGGGATTCTCTCATTGCCGTCATGAATGTCTCGACCATGTATGGGGTTGTCTCCAAATGGGGCAGAAAACGGGTGTTTTTCTCTTCAAAAGAAGCCACAGAGAAACGCATGCCCATATCCCAATGGTGCTGGCTGCCGTGTTTCAATGATAATCTGGGGCAACAATTAGATGGATTTATTTCATTGAAATATTATCGTGCACTTAGCGGCGGCCAAGAATGGGCAGAGGAGAGAGGTGTTTGCCAATGATGCCGATCGCGAGTGCGAAATGCGTTTGGCCAGTTTCAGACTAACACGTGCCAAACCACCTTTGGCTTCCTGTTGAAGCCATCTCCAGTTTTCACATATCGGCACAGTAGATAGCGAACTCTGAGGTCGCCGTCCCCAGGTCCGCCAGCGTCCGCAAGGCCAGCAATTACACCACTGGCTCAGGCCAGGCTCGCCTGCCATGGTTTGACGCAAGTTTGCACGGGGATCAAGGAAATTCAATCGATGCATTCGATGGAATGATATGTTGTAGTTCCCGAATTCCCAAAGTTTCGAGACATCTCGGATCAGTGGAAAAAAACACTAATCGTCATGTACGTGGCTGTGACGTTGAGACGTTATGCTCGTTATGGCAACTCGAAGTTCTATGACCAATCACTCCATAGCCGCTCCCCCACTTCATCGCTTCACTTTGCCGAGCGCTTTCTTTGCACTCAAAGCGATACATCGCCCAGGCCCGTTTAAAGGGAATCTTTGGTGGGGGTGATGCTTCTAGGGAATCAGTCGGCTATGATTCTTACTAGGGAACCACCTCAAAAGTGATTGGTGGACATGAATCCCCACCGAATTCTGATGTCCACCACCAAAGGGTCCCCAATGAAAATCCAGGGACCTCATCGAATGGAAGTCTCGCGGGCACCCCTTTGGCGCCAGGTGAGTGAGCTGCAAGAAGCAGCCCTCCTCTTTAGTGGGGCAGATTGGGCGAACACCACCCACCCATTTTGGCAACAGCACGGACGGAACGGTAAGAAACCATAGCAACTGTAGGAAAGCATAGGAAAACATAGGAAGCCACAGCCCCGAGACTCACAGAGACCGAATTTGCAGATGAGTTGCGACCAAGCCTTGTGGTTTTTAAGATAGGTTTCCCGACGCTTGAAGTTGATTTCGATCCAGGCTTTGTTCGGCCCCCCAAATTTGGAGCACCGATGAAACCGAGGTGCACATTTTGAAACCAGTCAACAGGAGAAGAGTGCGGATTTTGGTCAAAGACCCCCCCCCGCCCCCCGAGAAGTGTTTCAGCCCTGGTTGGCTTCGTATCCATGTGGGTTTCATAATGGCACGCCGTCGGTCTCTGCCCAACTCTGGACACTTCGCTAAAGGGGTGCAGGATGGGACCTGCAAGATGCAGGACCTGCCTTGTCTCACAGGAGCTGGTGAATATCTCGTGTCACATCGCCGGTGCACGCACCACAGTCAGTCAGACCTCTGGGACACGTGCGGATCGCACGTTGAGGCACCTATGACGACCTTTCAAAGATTCCCTCAAGGAGTGTTTCGCTGAAACCGGAGACTTCTAGAAGTGGGCGGTGTCCTTTTCCTTTGCTCAAAAACTGTTGTTTTGAGATGCCGTCTCCAGTTCCGCGCTTGAAATGTCTTTGCAATGCGGTTTCCAAATACCAAGGCTGTTTGACATGAGGCTGGGCGTTTTAAGGCGGGCCGCTGGCTCCGAAGTCAAGGCCGAGCGGCTTAGGTTTTGCGCGCGCGGTCCGTGAACGCAGAACCCGCTGACGGCCACGTGGGCGGTGCTCAAAACTTTGGTGCAGTTTGCCAAGGGATGTTAGGACTTTAGCTTTTTGCCAACTACTGGGTTTTCCATTAAACCACTAAAAGTTTTTTTTGTTAAAGCAGGGGAGCAGATTTCGTAACCGGGAAAAGCTGATGGACCTTGGAGAGGCGCTGTGGGGTAGGGTCCATGCGCGGAGCACCGGATATGACTAAGGCCAGGGGCCATGAACATTCTGGTATATATCCGTGCGTTCTGGTAGACCCGGGGTCCATTCGGCAACCATCAGGCAACAAGCTGCTAGAGTGGCCCTGCTCAGGTCACTTGGGTCACTGGTACACCCTTCCAACATTTGGTGGACTATTGGCCACAGGCACCATTCTTGGTTGGGGTTGAGTCCAAGTGTCGGATGCTTCAAAGTGAATGCATGGGCAGCAAATGGGTAGGCAAGGATTCCCGCATAGATGGCTTTGGATCTGAGAGAGCTTCCTCTATTTCGCAGCTTTAGGGAACTCGCGACTCATGAGCCCCTGGCACTTGACCCACTGCACAGCGCAAGCCCTCCCATGTCAGCACAATCTTTGTTGCAGTCGTTTTTTTCTGCAGCTGTGCCTTGTTGTGACTGAAACAGGGCACAAATCCTAAATCCAGTAAACTTTGTTCTGCTGGATGATCACAGCAGGTTTTTCTTAAACTGGTGGCCCTAGGAATTTCAGCTAGGGGTACTGTTTTTCCAACAATGCTGGAAGCTGACAGAAGGGTTTGGCAAGCCTACAATCCTCTTGACAAGGCCTGTCCACTATGATTCTTGGACAAACATTGCCCTTTGGAGAGCCCTGGGCATTCAATTGCGTCGCCCTGGACCGAGTGGGGCTTTGCGAGTCTGTTCCGGCCCCCGCAACGCCAAGCCCCGCCGCGACGCCGATCCGTGCTTTCCGCGCAGCTGGCTCGAGCGAACAGCGTTCAGCTACAGCTCAGCCGGGCGAGGCCCAGGAGGTTTCAAGGGATAGCCGGACGTGTCCCTTGTGTGGAGGGTACGTTCTTGCTTTGTTTTTTGTTTGCTTTTTTGATGGGAACCGAAGTAGGTGAGAAAAGATGGAAGGGAGTTTCCAGTGGTAAAATAGGCACCGCTTGCGAAATATCTTGATGGGATGAAGGCAATCCTGCCTCGACCCCCATGGAACTTTGAGACATGACCTTACTTGGTTTGTCCCAACTGCTCCTTGTGTTTGCGACATGGCCGGTACTCACATATTACGTGGCTGAACATTCCAGGCAACCAGGACAGAATTGTGTTCTCAAGGAAACCATCACCCTTCTCTGTTGTCAAAGGGAACTGCATGCGAAGGAGGGTTTGACTGTGACATGACACGAGCGTGAAGGGCCTTTTCGTGTCGCAGGTCATCGAGTTTGCCTCTCTCCCTCCTGGAGAAGGCTCCGCGCACTGCAAGTGCCACTTGTGGACGACACAGGGACTGGGGGCCAGCGGTCGTACATCCACAGGATGAGGGCAATGGAATCCTGCTAGGGCTCCCCTGTTCGGATGGTCTGAAAACACCAAAGGGAAACCACCCATAGAAGACCCCGGCTAAGTCTGCTTAGGCCGGCTCCTTGTGCCAGGCATCGATCTGCCAGCATTACGGCCATCAGCACATGGCTCTGGAAGGTCAGTGGCTCAGTGGGCTCCAAGGGGGCAAAGTGTCCCATCCGAAGGGCCCCTGATTTTGAGTACTTCGGCTGCCTGGTTTCAACGTCGAGGGCTGGAGCGCCATAATCCAAAGGGACTCAGTGAGAAGCAGAAATCCTGTAGCACTCCGAGCCCCCACGCAAAGCCCAGGCTCAGACACGGGCTGGGGATAGCTGAAGAGTACTTAACCACTTGGTAAGTGGTAGATCTTGGCTAAGAACATCTACCCATTTGGGTATGGGTCAAAATTTATCCACCAGGGTTTAGTCCTTGGTTCCATTTACCAGGGTTCCCTTTTGGGTACCCATTCTTGACCCGCAGCCATTTGGGTGAAGTGGGTAGACAAGACCCAGCCAGTGAAGAGAAACATATCCAGCATTGCCATCCAAGGCAACGGGCCTTGAGCTGGGGCCTTGGACACTGAGCTGAGTCCCCTAAGAACTTCCTATTGGCCGGCCAATAGGACGCCATCCGAAGAACATTGACCTCAAGTGGCAGAGGCTTCTGGTCAGGAGTGCTTCCCATCAACCTCAATTGCCCTCGCTCGCGGGAAGCGTTACAAGGGCCTACCTTTGCGCCGCGCGGGCCATGCTTTACCATGGGCAGAGATCCACCGACTTGCGAGCCTTTACCCAAGGTCCTGGACGAGATCCGCTGAGGGGCAGGGATCCTCGGAAACCGCGGCTCATATGGCGACAAAACGATGGTTACAAAGTCCATGTTCCCTCTGGCAACAACTGCAACAGAAGAACTGGGAGATTTTAGAAGCAGGGCTGTGGCCTACTATTTGCCGCCCTTTGGGATTCTGAGGTCTTCCTCCAGTTCTTCTGCCAGCAGCTCCCAGCCAGAGGAGACCTGTGGTTTGCTCCTGCGCGAGCAAACAACTCGTGGCCAGTTCGGGGCTTCGGGAGATGCGAATCATCAGGCTGACTGGCCAGGTCAAGCCAGTGGTTGCCCAATTCGGCGGAGTGTGTGTATGTGCAAAGCGTGTCCTTTTGCTGCCTGGTTTGAAGAGAGGAACCAAGACACCACACATCTGGAGGGGTCCCTTGTTTTGAGTCATACTCATTCCAGTGGATGCTTGAGTAGCTCTTTTGGTCTGGGATTTCTCCAGACAAATCCTTTGGCAGCGACCGGACAGCAAAACTACGGGGTTGCGCTTGCTTTTGGTGCTCCAAGCCAAGCCTTGCTGATATTGACGGGAAGAGGGTCTACGACTTCTTCCCATGGTTTGGCAAAGACCGGACATGTTGCGCTGGCTAGGAGCGAAGCCCCAACAGACTCGACTTCTTGAAGTCGGGGCCCAAGGGTGTACCATGTGCTGACTAGGATTGTGGCCATCCAGCCCTTTGACATTGTCCCTTTACTGGTTTCACCTTTTGTTTTCCACGGGGCCCCATCTTGAACACCTGAGAGACCCAGAGCCAGACACATCCCATACTGGCATATGTTGGATCATGCCTCTCCCAAAGTTGAATGATGTTCATGAAGGCTCCTGGCTGCGATTTTGCCGGGGAAGCAAATAGCTGGTGAGCTTCTTTTTTTCTTTCTCGGGATTGATTTCCATTTTTCCCCGCGATTTTTTGCCCCCTTCATTTTCGAACAAGCAAGCAAGCAAGGAAGCAAGCAAGGAAGCAAGCAAGCAAGCAAGGAAGCTAGGAAGCTAGGAAGCAATGAAGGAAGCAAGCAAGCAAGGAAGCAAGGAAGCAAGGAAGTAAGCAAGGAAGGAAGCAAGGAAGAACGCAAGGAAGCAAGCAAGCAAGCAAGGAAGCTAGGAAGCAATGAAGGAAGCAAGCAAGCAAGCAAGCAAGGAAGCAAGGAAGGAAGCAAGGAAGGAAGCAAGCAAGAAACAAGCATGCAAGCAAGCACCCTGAAACACCCCGTATACCCTACACCTACCCTGAAGCCATCTTAGATCTACCCTGAACCCACCCGAAACCTACCCGAAGCCCCACACTAAGCCCACCCTGAACGTTCCCCAAGCACACCCCAAACCTACTCTAAACCTGCCCTGAACCACCTTGAACTTGCCTCGAGCCCCATAAACCCTAACCCAACCTGAACCCACCCTAAACATCCCAAACCCCGCTAACCCCGCCTTTTTCCTCAACTAAACCAACCCTACCAACCCAAGCTCCATCTGAAACCACCCTAAACCAACCCTAAACTGCCCAAAGCCCACCCTAAAGCAACTCTGAACACATCTTAAAGCCGCCCTCAACCACCCCTGAGCCCACCCTAAACCCACCCTGAAAACCAACCCAAGACACCCTAAACCAAGCAAAACCACCCCACAAATAACCCCTAAACCAACGATAAAACACCCACCCTAAATCTATCTTTAATTTAATCTAAGCCTACCTCGAACCTACCTTGAAACCCGTACACAACCCAACCTGAACACTACTTTCGCTCAAGGTGCTCCGCCCTACCAACAGCAAGGAAAGTGGAAAAAACAACACGAGAGACGGTGGAACAAAATGACGGGAGCATGCGCTAGCACCAAATAGCGGCAGCTGGGATG